TGTTGTAATCTTGATAGTCATTTTTAATCACTGAGTGTTTAATTATTTCAAAATTCTTTAAATGGGCGAACCCGTATTTGGTTGCCGGACATGCCGCTACTAATTTCCCTATTAATTGTGCAAAAGCCCTAACAGTGCAGCGATTTTTACTTTTAAAATTTCTAAGTTTTGATTTAACACTTTGAATTTTCTCTTCTGGTAAAGTCACTGTCATATGTATTGAATTAAAGCAGAACCCGAGAAAGGTGATACTTCGCTGCGGCTCTAAAACACTTTTGGTTGTATTAATTATAAACCCTAAGTTTTCTAAGAGACCTGTTGTAATTTTTATGTTTTTTAAGCATTCTGATTTGGTATCAGGAATAAGCAAAATGTCATCCAAGTAAAACAGAATATTCAATTTTCTCAGGCACCCAGCCACTTGTTTGAGTAATTTTGTAAACAAAAAAGGCGCTATATTTAAGCCAAATGGGAGAGCATTGAACTCGTACAGGGAGTTCTTAAATTTAAATCTTAAGTATTTCCGATATTTTCTCTGTACTGACAGTAAAAAATAGGCGTCTTTGAGGTCAATCTTTGCCAAGTAATTATTATGGTTTATGAGCATTGAAGCTGTTCTATGGTCCTCCAATTTAAAATGTGGAGCGTCCATGTAGTTATTGAGCTTTTTTAGGTTTAAAATAAATCTGTTTTCTCCATTGGGCTTTTTCCTTAGGAAATAAGACGATAGAAATTGTCCCTTTTTTGGAAGACATTTTGAAATAGCTCCAATTTTGATTAACTTGTTAATAGAGTCATAATAATCTTTAAACTGAGATTTTTGAATGTTTATTTTTGGTTCGCGTAGTTGTTTGAGTTTGGAATGGGAGTTGTATTCCCTGAACCCATTTTAATGCTACTGGGTCATGGGTAATGTTTTTCCACGCGTGTGAAAAATTTCTTAAACGACCTGCGTATTTATTTACCTCCTGGTGGCCGATCCTCGGGCCAGGGTGTAGAGCTTCCCGAGAGAACAAATTTTTCGTTTTTATCATTCTTGGTCACTTTTCGATAACGTTGACAAGGACAAAACATTCGTTCTATCGGGGAGCTCTACTTCCCGACCCGAGGATCCGGCCACTGATTAGAACAGCTTATTTCCTGCGATAATATTTCTGGTGGTCCTTGTACTTGCTGCTCCGTATCGGTGATTTCTCCCCTCTCCTCCGTTCTTTGAATTTTCCCTTGTACTGAGAGCGCTGGTAGTTTAAAGACTGGTGGTAAGACCTTCGAGCTCCAGAGGTCGATGGAGTAGATGAGGTTATCGTTTTCTTCTTCAGCTGTATGCTTGATTTCTTCAAGGCTTGATCGTTTTTGAATACTTCTGAAAAATCTTTCCCGAACAAATTATCGTCAATTTTGACGCTTTTTGCCACTTTGGCGCAATCTGGATGCAAGTGTGGTACGATTTTGTATTTTCTGTGCACGGAAAGTGCATTGTGAACATTGGCAATTATTTGACATGCTTCCCCAAGTATTTTTGTATTATTAGCCTGTTCTGGAACTATTATATTTTGAGTGATAACGGTAGCAATGGCCGATAGGCCATGGGCCAGCTGTGACTGCAAAGTTGTGATGAATTTGTCATGCTTGACAGCTGCGCCTGGAAGGCATGGCTGTATTTCCCCATTTGTTTTGGGGGGAATGGGCTCTTTCACTAATTTTTGAAATTGGCATATTTGGATAAAGCAACTAAAAACAGAATTTTCTGTATTTTTACTTTTGAAAAATTCATAGTCCTTCTTGAGAAAACAGAAAAAAAAGAAATACCTCCAAATAAAAACCCAGAATTTATTTCTATGACGTCGGAGCTCGCTATTTGACCGTGTTGCCACTAATTGTCAACATTGAAAATTTGTAATAGATTTAATTCTGAAATGTTCGCAAAATTTCATGAAAAGTAGTTAAATTAATTAGTTATGGATTCAAGATTTTATAACATTTTTATTGAAATTATGCTTAAACACAATTTAATATAATTTTCTATGTTTAGTTTTATTTATTTATTTTACGTTGCACTACATTTAGTCACCACCGACAACAGCGCATTCGAACCTTTACCTGCATTTACTACAGGATAAATACAGCAGAGGCGGACAGCTGTTTGCAACAACAAGCGAAATGAAAAATATTTATGCGACGTCAGCAAATCGGCGCGTTTTTAAATAATTCAAATTTTGGTAGTTTAAAATGCCTGTAAAAAACTTATTTAACCTTGTAGAACATTTTTTTTTGGTATATGTGCCTAAAATAGTCCCTCCTTTGGGATTTTATACCTAAATTACGTATTTAAATTTTAGTGAAAGAGCCCATTAATAACAAGCAATTTTCAGGAATTTTGAATTTGTCTTTGGGTGCTGGTTAACCCAGATTGGAGCACTGCACTTCAGCGTACTGCTACCTCATTATGCATTGGAGCACCAATTTCAGTATTATCTAGCGGTTTGCTACCGAATGAGTCATAGCTTATATCAGCCTGTTCCTCTGGTGGCTGTATTTCTTCATCTGGTAAGGTGTTTCTTTCTATCTCCATTACTGAAGATTCTAGAAGAATTAGAAAAAAAAATTTCATATAGTTTTGATTTAAAGCTGAGTGCTGTTTTAATTTCTATTGTTGTATAGTAACGCGTGTTACCAGTTTTAAGGGCGAACGCATGTTGCCCGAGATTAGTGTTCAAATCGAGTGATTGCACAACTAATTTGTTTTTATTGGAATAACGTGTGTTATCCTTGATTAGGCGAGCGCGTGCTGCCAGAGAGTTTTGTTGAAATCGGGCGATTTCACTCTCAATTTGTCAAATATAATACCACCATTATTATTGTCCGCCAAGGAACCTAAAACCTCACATTTCTTATCCGCACTACTAATTTTCCTTTTCGGCATTTTTTCTCCTTTGTTAAATAGCGTAATTCACAAAGGACCCCGCAATATTTAAATGGAAATTGGTTACCCGTGATATTTGGATGAAATTTAAATATGTTATTAGGGATGCCGTAAGCAACATTTTTTACCATGGGCAAAACCCTGTATATATGACAGGTGAGGCGTGGTTAGCTGTCAAATATTGGAATCTTATATCCAAAAACAGAGTAACTATGGCAGATTTTGATAAACAAGAAATCTATTTCTACTAAGTCGACCAAGTTAAGTTGAAAAATGTCAACCATTTTAACACCTGTCAAAACCCTGCCAAACGGCATTTTTTCCAGTTTTCAAAATTTTATGTTGTCATTTGACATTTTTAACTTATATATAAATTCTAAATTCAAAAATTAAAAAAAAAAAAATGACAGAACTGTCAAAACCTGTCATTTGTTTTAGTAGAAAAAAATACTCTAATCTGGTCCTTCCTCGTTTTAAGGTAGTTTATTGGTGATAAAACATTGAACAAAGTTCATGCACGTTACATTTTGACAGCTGTCATTTTTTTTTTCAATTTTTGAATTCAGAATTTACATATAAGTTAAAAATGTCAAATAACAACATAAAATATTGAAAACTGGAAAAGATGAGTGCTGCCGTTTGGCAGGGTTTTGAAAAAATTATCGACGCGTACCGTAAACACGACAAAACGGAATGAATACCTAGGCTCGGCTGCGAGGATAGGAAGGTGCTAGGTAAACAATTTTTTGCACTGAAATGTCGTACCAGAAACATAACTCACGGAAACTACGGTGTTGTAATTATATCAAGGACAAGCGAAGGAAAATTATAAACAGTATCGGTTTTAGGATACCCAAAGATGATAAAATCGCAAATAAAAAATCCGGGTGCGTATTTAAAAAAAGGAAGTTGAGGATGGCCGCTTGAAGACGAAACGTCGAATTCTAAATTTAATAGCACTATCTTCTAAAGGGAAAAAAGTGACAACAATGAAGTGACATTTATTTGAAATTGCTTTTCAAATTGGCCCGGGAAAAAATAAAAACGATTTTACAAAATTTCGGGTTTTTCCGAATATCTCCGGAAGTATTCGGAATTTTTCTTGTTTCAAAACGGCATTCTATTGGTCATAAAATTGCGCAATTTTGCCATAATTGAACCGACCCCGTATCTCTTACGGTTACCAAGATCCCAATGATGAGGCTCGAATTTGGGCCACCCTGTACACTCAACATAGCCCAATTTCCATACAAAAAATTATTCTCAGATTTGTAGCCGCAATCTATGAAAAAAGGCACTCAGAAAAATTGAAAAATTGATAAATCACCCCAATTGCTTAATACGATTTTATCTCAGGAACTATAAGTGCAAATGAGCTGAATTTTTCAGGGATTGTAGTCCTTTGAAAGTGATAAAATTCAGTAAAAGTTTCAGCTTTCTATATCTATAATAAAAAAAAAGTTATGACCTTTCAAAGTTTTTCCAAAATTGTAAAAATACTATCCTATAGGTTTTTATGTTATATTTAGGATGACGTTATCGAACAAGGACAGACAATGTTGGCAATGCCTATTTTTTTTCTTATAATTTACCAAAATGTCATGTGTCAATAATTCTGACGACAGCTAAAAATAACGAAATGAAAATGTTTATACAAATCATGCAACGTCGCGCACCGTTGCCAACCAAAAACATCTGAAATTCCCCTATGTCAAAATTTAAATGCGTTAAAAAATACTTTAAATTTTGTTAGGTTGGTAGGAGAAATATGTTAAATGTGACGTCATCCTAAATATGTAAAAATCATCCCAAATTTCGAAACGGTATTTTTGTGAGCAAGAAATCGTGTAAATTTGCCCCAATTATGATTACCTACAAAAAAAAAAAAAAGATCCCCATACCTACTCACCAATTTGTACCACCCTGTAGAACTAGCAATGATGCACTTGTAAAATTATTTTTGTAGAAAATAGACTGATATAATATTGTCACAGTAAGGCATAAATGTATCTTTGCCAGTTTTCTAAAAACCTCTTAGGTTTTAACTACTCTAGGAACATTAAAAAATTCCTTTCAGGTAATCTCCCCAATGTCTAGTCCACCCCCTCAAGCCGGCAACACCCTCAACGTTCAAAGCTTGAATCTCGCCCAATTGCAAAATTTTCCAGGCTTGCATAATGTACAGGTACATCTTATTCGCCTTACAAATCAATCCCAAACTAAAATCATAATTCAGTTTCAGCTGCAAAACTTTTCGCAACCGATCTCGTTGGCGCTCAACGTGGGCAGTCAAGCTTCGCAAAGTTTACTGATGTCGTTGCCTAATGCGCAAGCACAACAAGCTTCAGTAACGCAATCGGTACAGGGCGTGGTACTGAATGCGGCTAGTAGTACTGGTGCTGGTACTTCACAATTAGGTAAGGAATTGATTTGTCTATTTAGCAATTTTTTAATTTCTTTACCTATAGCTCATCTAGTAAGTTCAGGAAACGTCAAAAATATTACTCATCATAATATAAGGACAGCTGGGGGGTCGCAAACGTTGCAACTGAGGCCTGGTAATCCTCAGTTTCAGCTAATATCTCAGCTACAGGTAATAAGTTTTTATTTTTAGTTATTTAGATGTTTATATTTGTTGATTGCAGAGGCCTACAAGACAGCAAACAATCCCTGGTCAAACGGCAACAATATCAAGTCGAAGAAGTACGCCAATAACCATCAAGATGGCGACGCCTTCAAATCCAAGTCAGTTTACTGATATTCAATTAAATTTAGATAATTGACCAAGTTTGTTTCGTTTAAATTTTTGAATAATGCTAGTCCTGTTATTGTTTTTTTTTTTTTTTTAATAATTATTACGAAGCCTTATGAAGATCAGAAGAAGATGTTTTGAAGAATGGAAGAAAGAAAAAAATAAATAAAAATAATCATTATTATTGTTGCTTGAAAATTAAAACAAAAATTCTTAATGTAGATCAGTTTCAACACCAGCCAACAATGGAAACGATCCGACACTATCAACTGCTGAACCAGCAAAAGAACCTAGACAACGTTTTCGAGAAGCTGAAAAGGTCCAACAATGAACACCAGTAAAAGGGGATTTTTGTGTTTTAGTTTCACAAAAACGAACATTGAACTTTCAGTTTGAAGAATTTAGAACTATTAGAGGTAAATAATAATTATTAAGGCTTTTGAGGTATGTGTCAGGGTTACCAGTAGGCCACCATTTGATTGGCTATAATAGGTATGTTTTCAGAAGGTACTTATTACTGTATTACATTTGTGTATTTTTCTGTGAATTTTTTCATAAACGCAACATAATCATGTAAAAATACACATATATGATACGGACTTAAAACATGTTTTCTGCTAAAACAAACCTATTAGATGTAATTTTGTAATAATTTTCTTGAGGACAATAATTGATTGTTTAAACAATAGTCATGTCCTTATTAATAATAATAATTCTAACTGAAACTGCCCGCTCACACGACTGTTGTTTCGCACTAGGCACAACAATATTCCAATCTTAAAAAATCTAAAATGCTTCCACAGAGTTGGAGAGTATTTTTGTGCTTATTGTAGGTGTTTATCAATACTAGGTTTTTTTGAATTTTTAGTATTTTTGTTGCATGCTTAATGTCAAGTCTTGGTATATTTTTATTGGTGAAATTTTGTTATAATTTTTATTGTGATTGTAAGTATAAAAGTGCCCTACTAGTTTCATGAAAGGAAGATTACTTATTTGAAATTACTTGATTTTTCACTTTTGAGTCTAGTCTACCAGCCCTATTAAGTGAATTGATCCAGTTTGTATGTATGTATGTATGTGTTGGAAATATCAGTTGCACTACTGCAACCAAGATTGATCTATTGTATCTTTCTGCTGTCAAGCCAAGAATTTTAGGATATCTAATGGTTCCAGGGCTGGAATGTCTTCCAACTATATAAGGACACTTGCCAGGTTTTTTTTACAATCCGTATACATTGGTAAAAGTATCAGGCAATATGAGGACAACATTGTGTTCATCTATAGGTACTTTTCTTCTATCTAAAATTCTAATCCACTAATGGATAAAATTTGTCACAAATACATTCCAAAACCTTAGGAAAAACTGATCCAAGTAATCTTCACGCTTCAAGCCAAAATTCAAAATAATTATTAATTAAGTGTGGATACCAAGCCAAAAACAGACAAGTATGCACAATTCTTATTACAATATTTCATCAATTTTAAAATAAGCTCATTAGAAAATTTAGATTTATGTATACATTTTGTGATCTCAACCTACCTGTTTTTTTTTTTATACTAATTTTACTTTTATTCTAAAATTATTGTTATTGTATTATGGGATATTTAATTAACATGCTACAAGTTAAAGCCTGCATTACAACTGTATATTTTTTCATGTATTTATACATAAATACATCAATGTGAAGCGAAAATATTAGCCGTGTCTTTAACTTTTTGGACAGCATAAAGGACCCTGCCCAAAGTATACGGAGATTGTGTTTATGTCGGAATTGGTTAAATTTTGTATATAATGTAGATCACGCCTTCCGAAACTTAATACAAGCATCCATTCCAAAAAAAGGTGTATTACGATAGCCATCTTGCCATCCATTTTTTTGACGAGGGAAATTGCACATGGAAGTTGCAGATTCTAGCCTTGAATCAAGGTAGCTAGAGGCTAGAAGTTCTCAGTTGTCATCAAATGTGGAGGTACAGGAGTCAATACGTGAGGGACTTGAGTCCTCTAGGAATCCCTTCAAAAGCCCTATTCCGCACTTCACACAAATGGTGTTTTTTAAAAATGTGGGCTTCTTGGGAATGGATTCGTTGAAAAAAACGGCTCCTCGAAAAAAAAAACAGCTCCCCGGAAAAACCAGCTCCTCGGAAAAAACGACTCAAATAAAACGGTAATCACGAGACTGTTTATTTAATTTTTTTCGGTACTCAATGGATTATTGCTTCACGCAACTTTATTTCGTTAAAATAATGCCTGATGATGATTAAAAGTTACCATTGCACCAATCCTGAAAAATAATTTCTTTTTGAGAAAATTAATTTCATAGTATTCATAGGTACCAAGTAAAATGCTTGGACATTGTAATGAACGTACAGTTGCGATAAAAAAAAAAGTAGTACAAAAATTATCAACCCCAATTTGAGCTCCCGATGTAACATACAAAATTTTGACAAGCATATGACATATTCTAGGTTAAAAACAGGTGGAAAAATGCCAAAGTAATGTCATCTGAAGCTTTCTAGGTTAAAAAGTTGTCGAAAAATGCCAAAAATATGTCATTTTTGGTTATGAATTAATTTAATATATAATAGACCAGGAAACTTCGGAGATTCTTCTTGTATTGATTTTTTTGATCGTAACTGTACATACAAATAAGTGGCTTATTGCAGAACTTATGGCTGGACCTCTGCGGGACGAGCGCAGCGAGTTCCGCAGCCATCTACTCACCAATATACTGTTGAACGGTTCAAATAAGACTCACCTGAAACGTGTAGTTTTTGAACTAAAGAAAAAAATTCACAACTGAGTGAATCAAGTTAATATTGTACTTGAACAACATATTGATGAATAGATGGCTGCGGAACTCGCTGCGCTCGTTCCGCAGAGGTCCACCCATAAGTTCCGCAACAATCCTCTTGTTTGTACTTGAATAACTTGTTACAATATATTACTAGTTTGGTAAAGTAACATTTCTAATTCCTATTGAAAGGCAAATTGACAAAAAGTGGATAATCTTACAAATTCTGACTTTATTTAATAAGTTATTGTTTAAGTACAAATAAGTGGATTGTTGCGGAACTTATGGGTAGACCTCTGCGGGACGAGCGCAGCGAGTTCCGCAGCCATCTATTCACCAATATATTGTTGAACTGTTCAAGTAAGACATTCATTTGAAACGTGTAATTTTTAAATTGATGAGAATAACATACATTTGAGTGAGTCAGTTTAGTATCGTAATTAAACAACTTATTGATGAAAAGATGGTCCACCCATAAGTTCTGCAACAATCCTCTCGTTTGTACTTGAATAACTTGTCACATTATGTTACTAGTTTGGTAAAGTAACATTACATATTCCTGTTGACAAGCAAATTTACAAAAAGAGAATAATCATAATCTTACAAATTTTGACTTTACATAATAAGTTATTGTTCAAGTACAAATAGGTGGATTAACGCGGAACTTATGGGTGGATCTCTGCGGGACGAGCGCAGCGAGTTCCACAGCCATCTACTCACCAATATACTGGTGAACTATTCAAATAAGACACTCACCTGAAACTTGTAGTTTTTGAACCAATGAGAATAACTGACATTTGAGTAAGTCAGGTTAGTATCATACTTGAACAACGTATTAATGAGTAGATGACTGCGGAACTCGCTGCGCTCGTCCCGCAGAGATCCACCCATAAATTCCGCAACAATCCACTCGTTTGTACTTGAATAACTTTATGTTACTATTTTGGTAACATTACTAATTCCTGTTGAAAGGCAAATTGACAAATGTGGATAATTTTACAAATTCTGATTTTATATAATAAGTTATTGTTCAAGTACATACAATGTAACACAAATAGGTAAGCTTATGGCGCAGTGGTGTGCTACGTATAGTAATTTTTCAGGATTGGTGCAATGGTAACTTTTAATCAGAAAGGCATGATCTACAGGGTGATCTATTATAAATGTAATCCCCTGCTAACTTTTCCATTTAACGTTTTTGACAGAAGTGTCAAATACAAAAGTTTCGAAAAATTGTTAAAAGTTTTCAACTAAGTTACTTTTAGGCATACAGGGTGCGTCAAAAAAGTGCAGCAGCGTGAAGTTATATTTTTTTAAATGGAACACCCTGTATATTGTGTTAGTCCCCTTTAACCTGTTTTCAACGATATAGGGTTTGATATGTCTATCTTCAACAGTTATAGGGAAAAACATGAAAACCCCTTTTAAGGTTTCATATTGAAAAAAGGAAAATTATACCATTTAAGCTTTGAAGAATTTTTTTTATTCAAATTTTATTCATTAATATACAAGATGAAATATTATAATTAATCCAGATGCCTAAGCTATTATATTTATTAAAAAAAAAAATAACATGAGAGACCTAGGAAGAAATTTTCGTGTTTTTCCCTATAACTATTGGAGATAAACCAAGGGATAAACATATTAAACCATATATCGTTGAAATCAGGTTAAAGGGGACTACCAAATAGGCGCACAATATATAGTATTCCATTTAAAAAAAAAAAAAAACTTCATACTGCTGCACTTTTTTGACGCATCCTGTATGTCTAAAACTGACTTAGTTAAAAACTTTTGACAATTTCTTGTAACTTTTGTATTTGACACTACTGTCAAAAACGTCTAATGAAAAAGTTAGCAGGGGGTTACATTTATAATAGATCACTCTGTACATTACATACAAAATTTCCGTATACTTTGGGCAGAGTCCTTTATAGTTGCCAAGCATAATGTCAAAATGACATTATGTTGGCAATACAATGTAAAATTGTCAATGCTCTTAAATTTTGTATGTAAAAAAGGCTTGTACTGCCAGCATAGTTGACTTGGGGAATTATCTTTAAAAAAAAAAAATACACTTTACATGCATAAATACATGTAGAAATACACGAAAAAAATACACAGATGTGACGTGCGGGCTTAAAAGTGAATTAGTGAAACCGATTCCTGGGTGCCAAAAAGTTGGTTGGTTGCAGCTTTTAAAAATGAATTTTTTTGGCATGTAAATTTTTTCTTTTAACACAATTTATTTATTTTTTATTATGTATTTGTTTATACATTATTTTAGAAAAATTTAGTTCTAATTGTACTATAGAGATTTTAGGCTTAAACGAATAGTTTTCTGTTTTTATCGGGCTTTCAAGGGACGACTTTTGATTATGTGCTTTTTTTTATTTATTTACACCAATATTGACTAAAATTTTTTTCAAAAATCGTCCGGGTTGAGAACTTTTGTACATAACAGTTAGTGGTTTAATTGGGGTTTTACTAAATACTCAAAACTTCACAAATAATTTCTTTTGCTAATTTACCTCTAGTGAAAACCAAAATATTGTGTACATAACATATGTACTCTGAAATAAACGAAATGTCGTTCCTACTGTTTTTTTTGTTTGGTGGCTTGATAAAATTAAATTAAATTTCCAAAAAACACTAGCCACACTATTTATTTATTGTAGACAATTATTATGTGAATAATTATTAATATGTATATTGAAATTTGTAGATTTACGTTGTAAAAATTGTAAAAATACTTAGTTATTTTCATTTTATACATAAAAATATATACAATCTGATAATTTGTGATCGACTCAACAAGATATAAGAAAAATAAAACTGTTTAATTTTTATACTGTAGCCTGATTGGAGTTTTGTTCAATATTCAAATTATTTTGACTTTTACACAGTAATTTTATCTTTTTTGTTAATTGTATATCGTTTTTGTAACAAGTCTCATCATGTAAACTTTGGCATAATGAAAAAAAAAAAAACCTATATTTTGTTCATAATTTTAGATGATAAAAACAATTTAAGGCGAAAATTATTCAGTATGTTGTTGTGTAATTGATTAAAATAGTAAATAATTTTTTTTTACATTTTGGTGGCTTTTATTTTTGTCGTAGGTTTTCTCAAATTGAACTTTTTACTTCTATATAAGGCCTTTATCAAGACCAGAAAAATCCTCCCAGTAAACACAAGGATTTAAACAGATCTCCATCACGTAAAAAAAAAAATCCACAGTGTACAACAGTAACAAAACGATTTTAACATATATTTATTTCATTCTATTTAACTAAAAATGACTCCATAGTAATGGAAGATTTGGACCATAAAGGCTTCAACGCTTTCTCAAGAAGCGACAAAGTATAGTGACTGAACTGGAAAATCCAAAATTCAAAAGGATCATTTCAAGTTTGTCAAAATCGTATTTTCAGTGGTGGAACCAGAATTTTACGAACAAATCTACCAAAAAACCATAAAAGTAGTGGGATTAAATCAAGGATATATTAATAAGGTTGCTGAAATGAATTATATGAACACATACTATAGACGAAGGATTTAAGTATAAAATAAGAATATGAAAAAAAAAAAAACTTATTTATTTAACAAAAAAAAAAATCAGCGTAATTACAATTTTGAGTATTTTCTAACGATTTTATACAAAACCTCTTATTATTATACTAAATCCTTGAAAAACCAAAAAAATATACCTAATCATGTACAGACCGTACATGACTTTTCAAAGCCCAATCGTCCTTGAACATTTTACTACAAATTGAACATTCTGCATTTTTAGTCTCGATAATATTGTGTTTTGATTTTTTGTGGGCCCTTAGCGAGACATTTTGACGAAATCCTTCCCCGCAAACATCGCACATGTACGGAGTTTCATTTGTGTGTTGCCTTAAAAATAACAATTTTTACAACAAACAAAAAATATAATACAATATTATTACCTTTCATGAGTCCTCATAGAAAATCTACTAGAAAATCCTCTATGACAATACTGACAAATATGATTTCTTTCTTTCAAATGCCTAGTCCGTATATGTTGATTCAGTTCGTATTTGGTGAAGAATCTTTTACCGCAAGCGTCGCAAGTGAAAGAACGATCCCCGGTATGTTCCTTTTTGATGTGCATTTTAAATGCGTACAATTTTTTAAATATTCTTCCGCAAGTTTCACATTTCAGCCTCTTCTGGGAATGCGTATAGTACATGTGGCCTCTTAAGCTTTCCGGATTTTTTGTTGTGATGCCGCACAAATGACAAACAGCCGGTCCGGCATTATGATTAGTTATGTGCTTATTTAGATTGTAAATTGTTATTAGATTTTTACAAATTGGACATGGTTTTTTTAAATGACCTAAGTAAAATGTTTCTTAATTATTATACACTAACTTATCATAGAGTATCAACAAACATTTACCTTTAATATGTGAATTATAAGACTGTTTAGTACTATAAGTCTTATTACACTCATCACATTTAAGCGTACTTCCTTCAGGTAAATATTTAGCAACATTTCTTTTCCGCTTCCTTTCAGTTTTAGCAGTACTAGGATGCACCGCTGCCAAATGCAAGTCATACAAAGGCATATACCTTTAAAACAAATCAATTAACCAAAATAAACCAAATTTCTATTAAGTACCTAAAAGACAATGAGCAAATGCCGCAACAATAAGTCCTGTTAGCCAACTCAGGGTGATGACTTTCAATGTGCTCCATATAAGCTGGAATGTTTGGTAGACTAATTAAACAAGTGTCACAAAGTTGTTCCTCTTTATAGTGGTCGTTTGTGTGGCTATACATTGCAGCCTCCGATTCGCATTTAATTCCGCATATAAAACACGCAGGTTTTGGTTCTTCTTTGATTTCAGGCAACGAACTATCATCATCATGTTCTATATAGATTACCTCTCCATAATCCTCGTTTTCTGAATCGTTTTCAATAATTTCTTCAATTTCGTTTTCGTGGCTCGACGATTGCTCTAGTTCCAATAAATCGTCCAATTCAGGTGTAGTTTCTGTCTCTGTAATATTGGTCACTGGTTCTGGCTCTATTGACAAATCGCTTGTAGATTTTTTCGCAAGATTGAATCTTGACTTGACGCTTTCTAATCCGTTTAGTTGGAATGTTTCTTCGGCCTTGACGAATCTCTGCTGGGTTTGATAGGCTGATTTTAGATCCAGCCAACATTTTACACAAGATTCTGTAGACTGAAGCTCGCCATCTACCTATGGATTTGGATAATTTAAGTATTATTGGTTTTTGTAATTTGCAATTTATGTTGAATGGTAATTTATAAAACGGATTATGGAAAAAAGGACCATCAAATCTCAACAAAAAAAATTTGAAATTTCATCGTTTTAGTAAGAATGGACCTAGCTACCTAATGATTTAGATTTTGGAAAACTTTGAAAGGTCATAACTTTTTTTTTATTAAGGGTAAAAAGCTGAAATTTTCAGCGATTTTTATCCCAGTAGAGGACTACAACCCCTGAAAATTTCAGCTCATTTGGACTTATAGTTTCAGAAATAAAGTCATTTTAAGCAATTTGGGGTAATTTATCAATATTTCAATTTTTCTGAGTGCCTTTTTCTATAGAATCGGGCTCCAGATCTCGGAATAATTAATTGTATAGAGTTTGGGGAATTCCAAAAGACCATTAGGACAGAAAATCTCAAAAAAATTTGAAATTTCATCGTTTTCGTAATGAGGTAGTTACCGATGGGTGGTTAACTGGTCAAAATTCCAGAAAATCTCATAAGATTTACCCAAAATCCCTAAAAATCTTTGAAATCCTTAAAAATTCAACATTATTCCACAAAATCTCTTGAAATTACATAAAATCTAACAAAATTTCATGAAAACCAAAAAAATCCTGCAAAATCTCATAACATCATTGACATTCTTAAAAAATATTTCCCTTAAAATTCCCAAAAATCCTTTGGAATCCCCAAAAATCTGTTAAAGTCTCTCAGAAGTTCATAATTTAGTGGAATTTGGAGGAATTTCAGTAGAATTATGTTATTTTGAAACAGGAATTACATGTGGAATGTTTGCGGAGTTTCCATAGATTCAAATTAAATTTTAGTTCCTCTCGAATTATATATGATCGAATTATACGAAATCCTAAATGAATTACATGGAGGAGTTCTAAATAATTATATAAAATTAAACCGAAATTCCCAACATGAAATTTCAGTTCTTACTGAATTTTATTTAAAATTCCTTGAAGTTTCATTGGACTTTCAGGAAATTTTCGGCTATGAACGTTGACTTTCAAAATATTCTCTTAAAATTTTAGTCAGTTCCGAGGAATGTTTAAGAAATTACATCAAATGTCAATGAAATTCCGAAGAATTTTATAAAAATTTTGTGGAATTCCAGGATATTTCAGTGGTGAAATTTTGGGGAAATTTGAGTAAAGTTAACAAAAAATTATGGTTATGGCTGCGGAGGGATTTCAGTGGAATTTTGATCGAATTACATGACATCCTGAATGAGTTGCATGGAGGAACTCTAAACAATTACATTGAATTACACCGAAATTCCCGAAATGAAATTGCAGTGCTCGTTAAATTACATGAAGAATTTTAAAAAAGTTTCAAAAAATTACATTATTTCCGAGGAATTTTCGTTGAATTATATAAAGCTCCGATGCAATTGCATGAAATTCAAAGAAATTGTCAGGGAATTACATGAAATTCAAGTGGAATTTTGAACAACTCTTATCGTTTCATAAGGAATTCCAGTGAAAAATCCTAATGTAATTACATGAAGTTTTATTCTTATTCCAAGGAATTCCCAGTTAAAAACATGGCATTTTAGTAAAATTGAAATTCCGGAAAATTCCCATCAAATTACTGAATTGTATTAAAATTAATTGGAATTTCGAGGAATTTCCGGCTGAAAACTTGGAATTTTGTTGAAATTTGGGAAAATTCCCATGTAATGATATGAAATTTCAATATATTTCGTAGGAATTTTCGACTAATAATGTGGAATTCCAGTGAAATTCTGAGTGAAATTTAAAGTTTGATAGGAAATAAATAATTTCATTCAATTTAATCATGGTTTCTAGAGATACAGATTTTAAGAAGGATTTGGCAACATGGAGACAAACATTAAGCTCATTGTACTAGGCGAAGTACTTTTTTTTTAGAACGTAATAAAGGATGCAAATAGGTTGTGATGTAAGTACTATTCTTTAATTCGAGGCAGTTATATTTTTAAATGATTTACTAACGAGAAATTCGGCATCCTCGCATTTATGGGACTCTGACGTCATAAGGTAAAGTACCCAAAGTTGACATATTAGCATAATATTTCGAAAAATAAAAATTTATACAGGCTATGAGCTAACTGGAATAGCTTATAGTATTGTTGGAGCCATCTTGTGTGCCAAATCACAAGTTTTTTCAAAATAGTGGCGAGAAGTAGTAAACAGGTCTAATTGTTTGAACATTTGCCCAGATTTTTAGTGAAAGTAGTTAAGAAGATATAAAAATAAAAGTTTTCAAAGCTACGGTAGGGCTGATAATTTATGAATAATATATATTTACTCTCGTAATTACTGTATAATAAGATACATTGTGATGCATATTAATTATTGTTTTATCTCTTAAGTAACAGGATAAACTTTTTAGGGGAAGTGGGTTGTCAACTATTGGAGCCCAAATCGAGGGATGATCCAAATGTTGACATTAGTGTCAACTTATGAATTTTTGGTGGTAAAAATATTTTAACCTCGATTTTAACATTGTAGTCTGTCCCTTTTTATTGCTCTGGATTAAAAAGAAACCTAGATATGGGTTTGGGTTTCTGTGGTTTGGGGAATGTGATGGTCATAGATCCAATTGATGACACCCCTGTCAATGTTTGGAGCTTTTAGAGTGTCAACAATTGGTCCTTTCAGGTTTAAATCAAGAAATGGCTTATGAAAAATGGAAATTGCTGAAATATGCAACAGAACTACCAGAAGACATGATTGCTGTGTTGGATGATTGTATTGTACTGTAGCTACATCAGCAAAAAAACACAATGTACCAATGCTTTCTAAGCCATTTCTTTTATTACCAATTTGGAATTGAAATTTATATTTTTTTCCTAACAAAAAGATTCCCAATATTATTTTTTATTAATAAAAAGTTTGATTCTTAAATTATTGATGTTTCTACTGATACAGGCAATATGTCAACTATTGGTTTCAAGAGTGTCAAGTAATGGAACCACGACATATGTGCATACCGGGTGACAATGAAACTACTACCCATGGCGCCATTTCTTAACGGCTCGAGATAGAAATATGCAACTCGGTTTGTTGATAGGGTTGAAAATTGTGAACAATTTTAATATAAAAACAATTGAATATCTTTTCCGGTTTCACCGGAAATGGCCTTGACTTTGTTATTTCAAATGGGACACCCTGTATATTATCTTTTTGTGACTCTTTAAACAATTCTAAATAACTTTTGTCTGAATACCCCATGTTAAAAATTGATAGTTTTTGAAATAGAGCCATAATATATGTAATTAAATGAGTGAAATGACAACTTGAAAATGGGTTATTAAATTTTTAATTTTGCAGGTATCTATGAAGGTTGAATTTGTCATATTTGAATAAAGGATAAAAAAGTAGGATTGGGTAGTGGAATGCCCGTATTACATCTGTGTATTTTTCTGTGTATTTATTCATGTAGTTCAAGGTGCCAACATTATTTTGTTTTTCATAAGGCTGATTTATGTTGCGTTTGAAGTTTTTTGGTTGTCACCCTGAACTACATGAATAAATACACGGAGAAATACACAGATGTAATACGAGCAGAAGTTTCATTTCCATAAGATGAACCAGTTTCCTACAGGTTCCAATCAAAAACTGAAACATTCATTTTCGAAAAACGCGTTTTTCTTAACTTGCATTAATTCTTGCACAATGCACAACACTCAAATGCGCAGGACATAGTTAATGCTTTTGGCACATTTTTTCACAGCGTCTACACTGAATCCGTTCCAAGCTACGGTGAGTCAATTCCATTATGTAATAGTAACATTGACTTACCATTTATTGAATTAAATGATATAATCAGAGCGGGTAAAAGGCTCAATAACAAGTTAACCTCATCCTTAAAACCAGCTGTTTTCCTTCAGGATGGAAATTGGCAAAGGTAATTCCAATCCACAAAAAAGGCGATCGCTCATTAATAACTAACTATAAACCTATATCATTACTCTGTAATTTCTCTAAGATTTTCGAAATAGTTATACACAATAAACTTTATCAATTGGTTAGGGGCTTGTTGTCTGAGGAGCAACATGGCTTTATGAGTGGCCGGTCATGCATGTCCAACTTGTCCTGTTTATCCCATAATTTGTGCACTACTTTGGACAGTGTCTGCCAAGTCGACGTAGTATAGACTGATTTTCGTAAAGCCTTTGATCGTATTGATCACTATATTTTGACCAATAAGTTGCACGCCTTGGGCTTTTCGGATAGGCTGGTGAATTTGCTTAAGTCTTACCTGTTGGATAGAAGTCAGTTTGTACAGTGTGAGGGCTTCAGATCATTCCTATTCAATTCCTCATCTGATGTCCCGCAAGGATCTAACTTGGGCCCTTTCCTCTTTAACATCTTTGTAAACGATCTTATTGAGACACTGCCTTGTTTGAAGCTTGCATATGCCGATGACCTTAAGCTTTTTGCCACAGTTACTACTACCCAGGATTGTATTACGTTACAGTCGTGCCTGGATATTTTGAATGATTGGTGCAAGGAAAACAGGCTTCTTTTGAATGTTGAGAAGTGCAATATTATAAGTTTCCCCAGAAAAAAAATTCCTGTTGTATTTGACTATACCATTGAAGGTACTATATTGGCTCGGCTCAATCAAATCAAGGATTTAGGAGTGATATTCGATAGCCGTTTAACTTTTGTACCTCATGTTGACGCAACAAGTGCATCAGCCCTCAAGACGCTTGGCTTTGTTTTCAGAAACAGCAGACATTTTTCAAAAAAATCAAGCTATATGGTAATATCAAAGTTTGAGTCCTGGCCTGACTTCACAATAAACTTCCAGGGTCTCCCATTGACTCGTGCAGACTGCATCAAATACCTGGGACTCTTTGTCGATTCAAAACTTACTTGGGATATGCACATCTTGCATATATGTAAAAAGGTTACACCAGCAATTGGAGTACTTGGTCGAATATCGGACTATCTGTCCATCACGAATC